TTTCGGTTATGAACTCATAGAATAATATCCAGTAGCATGTTCGGCTCATAAGATATTCAGTAGTGTTTTGCACCTACGGAGTGAGGAATTTCCAATCATCAATGATCAGTTTTTGCCTTTTTCAAATTTCAAATTGTGATAAATTGATGGACATTTTAGAGCATTGCTCTGAAAAGGTTAGAATTTTCCTGAATTCAAGGCTTCATGAAGTATACCATAAAGAGACTGCACGAATTAAGACAACTCAGAGTGTGTTATCGCGTCGTTGATTATGTTTTTGATTCTGAATGCCTCGCTAAATTTCTCGCAAAGTTCTGAATTAATGGATTTTAGCGTGTCATCAGGCTTCTCAAGGGCGTTGCTGATGAACTACGCATCGACTCGACTGGTCATCGTGTTGCCATTCTTGAATATAGTAGCTTGGCGAAGGCCTCAAAATGGCGTCGATATTACTTCGAACACATCAGCGTAAGGCTTCCAAAGACATTTGGTTTATTCATCGCATTCGGCTGAGAAATGCCCTCACAGATCAATCGAATGAAACTCGATCATACGGTGTAATATACCGTAAAAGACAGAGCAATTGATCAGAAACGATTACTTATCGCGAGAGATGCTTGTAATAAGACGAATTGTGCCTGAGAACATAACATGTTCGAGAATAACTTAACGATTGAAAAAAATATTCGTGATCGAACAAAATGATTAATGTGCAAAGTTTTGAATTGCATTCACATGAAGATTTGATCAAGAATATTCGATTGTCGTGATTGAATCGTATTTTTTAAAATATTCTGCAAAGTGCTCACCGTAGCGCGTATCTCTCGCATCCATCATATCAATTCATCATGCTGAACGAATGCTGCTTCATTTAAAATCAAATTTTCCAACGATTTTCACGATGTCCTTGTTCTGATGATGTATAAGATGAGATTCGAGAAGATTATGAAAACTAAGCAAAAAACCAAACAAACAAGATGTTTCGTTCACCCAATTGTTCGATTCATAGTCATTTTTCAGTCAGATCCAGCACTGGCAGAGGTGATCAATCAGCTACCCCATATTCAAGGCATAACCGATACGGGAAGTGCATTGAGGGTGGTGATCGATGAGTATGTGCCGAGCAGGCGTAATGGCATTCCGCTTATCATTTTCACCATCACTGACGGATATTACAGGTAGTTTCAGTGGAAATGAATCATCAAACTGGATGAAAACTCTTATTTTGGACACTCATATACTGATGAAATGATATCAAAAAGATACGGCCAACAGCTTGAAATTAAAATCAACTGATTTGATGCTTATAAAAACATGTAATGTGATCGTAAAGTATAATATTATTTGGGTGAAAATTTAATCAACTGAATGTATTTAGATACTTTCATAGTTATGTGATGCATTGATCTTTTGAGGATCACTTTAGATCTGATTGAGCTATTCCAGAAAACAGAATGGAACTTTTTAGTGCTGGATTTTTCACTGCAAGAATGCTGAAAGGATACTAGAAGGCCTCCAAGGCCCTCATTTTTTAGTTCAGGCTTGCAGAGGCTACCCTACCCAAAAAATCCGGTTCGAGTCTCGTGGCAGGCGCGAACACGTCCTACGTTCTCAGAAAATAAATGTTGATACGCTTACGATTAGGACCTTTGAAATTATGCTCTATAGAATCCTGCAGATGAATAAAATGTGTTCAATGTTCCCGTAGAACCAGTTTAGAAAATAACGCACCATTCAAATCATATTCAGGGATCATGAGATCGTGCAAAAGAATATCGCCAAACTGCTATCGTTCCCAAACACGCACTTATTCGCCGCAACACCGTCGTCTTCATATAACTTGTCAGTGTTTTTTCACTTACTTTTCTTGCGATGCTCTTCTTTTCCTCTCATCTAATTTCTAAGCACTTTTCTCATGAATAAATCAGAAAAAAATTAATAATTTCTTTATTATTTATCAGTTTCTATAAACATAAACTGATAGTCATTTCAGAAAAGGTCTACTCAGTCTTACAAATGGCGAGATTTCGAGACTGGCCTATGGGCAAGATGCGCTCGAGAGATCCAAGCAAATGCTTCAACAGTTCACCAGTTGCCGTTCTAGACAGAATACTGAGATCAGAAGGAAACCACAGAATAAAGCTCTGTTATCTACAACCCGGTCAATCCTTGACAATGCTTTATTTACAGATTATTGATTTCTGATGTGATACATCATATTGGTGGCAGACATTAAGAATGTGAAATGTGCACTTTAAGAAGATTATTGAGTGAAAGTATCGGGGGTGAACGATTAATGAGGTGGAAGCAATTAAGCGGTTTTCAGTCGTACAATAGTGTAAGATTCATTCGTGAAGTGGATCGGTCCTTATTTTGAAAGCATGAAAATCATGTCTCAGAATCTAGAGGTTGTGCTGGATCAAACGGCAAAAACAGATTCACACGTTTCTGGACAAACCTGAGAAGACGGTTAGCTCGAAGATCGCAATCCGCCTATTGTTATGTTAACGTATTGATTGCTCAACAGAGATCAATGTGCATGAACGACGAGCGCGACTGCGCTAATTGAAATAGATCTAAGAAAATTGCTATATTTCCTCAGCTGAGCAAAATCGCTCGGCAAAATATATTTTTTTCTGAATATGAAGATCCAGTTGGATCGAATGATGCAAAAAAATTCCGATGTTACTGGGCAAACTTGAGAAGACGGTAGCCTTGAAGGTGCCACTCGAGGTAGCATTAATAAAATACATAAATCTCCTCAACTAAGCCAAATTGCTCAGTAAAGTTTATATTATTCGAAGCAAGCAATACACTAGTGCTTGGCTCTGAGACATGATTTTTGTGAACAATCGTGGATAAGATATTTCGATCGCAATTCCGTGTATCTTGGACTTTTACATGAATTTGCTACCTAAATAACTGACCATTTGATTGATGAATAGCATGACATTAGCAAGGTCGTGCTGAAGTAACATAGCCCCAAGGTAAGCATTATACGACCACATTCTTGACGAATCTTTCTAAAGTATCGAAGCTTCAGAAAGAATTCGCAAACCACTGTAAGACATACGACGCTTCGTTCAAGGCGAAGCACACCTCGGAGAATAACCACTCGCAGATCATCTGCACCAACCACAACCCGGAGGACAACCACCCGCAGAACCACTACGACTGCGCCATTCACTGGGCAACCAGGTTGTTAAATTTGCTACAATTACCTGGATTACCTGAATTGGCCAGGCTATCAAACGTTTGTGACATTGCTGGCCACAATGGTCGCGTTTTCATGCACATTGTTTTAGCCTCAATTTATGCTAACTCGCTGGTTAGGCGAGCAGGCCATGCTATCAATATCATAATAAAAGCAAACCCCATACATTTGATCTCTAAGTTCTCTAATGATACGCTACAGTAGAAAAATCAGATACGTTATTTCCAAATATAACATGACGAAAAACCGAAGGTTTCCCCAGCATGCATACGATTCCCTCAC